CCACGTCAGTTTGTCAAAGTGTTTCATCAAAACAAATTGTGTACCAGTGTATCCCGTGATGAAGTAAACAAGATGTGTCTGCCATCAATATCACGTTTTGTTTTGTTAGTTGGTTTGTTGTTTAACACCACATTCATCAATATTCCAGCTATATGACGGCGGTCTGTAAATAATCGAGTCAGGACCAGACAATCCAGTGATTGGCATCATGAGCATCGATCCACGCGATTGGGATCGATGACATGCATCAACTAAGTCAGTGAGCCTGACCACCCAATCCCGTTAGTCGCCTCTTATGACAAGCATAGTTGCCTTTTACTGCAAACATGGGTTGCTGAAGACCTATTCTACCCTGGATCTTCACGGGTCCAATATCACGTGGTAAGGTGAAGTCAAATGAGGTATAACGTTGAGTTCAAGGTTATTGCATGCATATAGCGACGTGCATGCACATGTGTGCGTGTGCTGTATGCGTGCGTGCGTGCGTGCGTGCGGAGCAGATATTCTCATGATGCACGTTTCTGTGTATTTGACAAGATTTAGGTTACAAACTCTGCCAAAGAAATATGAAGCATGTGTATCCTGACACAAAATGATTGCCCCTAATGTAAGTAAAACAAGAGTCATCAGAAGATGACAAATCCCCCAGGCCCCCACAAATTCAAAAGAACTGTCATCTGTCTGTTACTTTAAGTCCAACTTGAGTTGATGAGAACAATACCATGGAATTCGGATTCAAAACTATGTATTTCTATGTCAGGTACACACCACTATGAACATGATGAACAGAGTCAAACTCAAACTTGTTGCCATGGAAACAGAAAAAAAATAAATTCTAAAAATTCCTAAGTAGCAAAAGGCACCATTTGACAACCTGGTCTTTGCGTGTGCAAAGTGTCATGAAAGAATACCTATTTGTTTAGAATGTTTAGAGACTTGGTCCGGACAAACACACCACTATAAACAATGATAAACATTGATAAACATCGTCCAAGTCAAACTTGTTGCCAATGAAACAGGAAAAATTTAATTTTGTTAAAATTCAAAAATAAAAAAAGGCACCACTTCAGCCCTTGATTATTAATACATGTACCGAGTTTGGATGAAAACTGTTGAATAGTTTTTTTTAGTTCTGCTCCAGAAATGTACATTCCCAACTGTTTTCATGGAAATCAAGTAAAAGAAAGATGCAACAAATCAGCAAATCTCAAACGGCACCACTTCAGGATCTGTTTGATATATCTGCCAAATTTTCTTGAAAGACACTGTACATTTTTTCAGTTGTGCTCTGGAAACAAAATCAAACCCCCTATGAGTCAAAGTCCAAATTGTTTCCATTAAATAAAGAATAGTAAAAATGCCACAAATCCGCAAATTGCAAAAGGCACCACTCCAGGATCTGTTTGATATAAGTTTTGCTGAAAGACACTGAATGTTATTTTGAGTTGTGCTCCAGAAACAAAATCCACCCCTTTATCATGCTTATGAGACACAAATACCAATTGATTTCATGGAAATCGAGAAAAATATGTTTCAACTTTGATAATATTATGGGACGAGGGTTCAACCAGGTTTTGTCTGGTGCAGTTAGATTTTCATGTCAACATGCACAATCCTCATCTTAATTGGATCTTAAGACAAGTATGGGATGCTGAGGTAACTTCACCGGTGAGATATCAAAAGCAACAAGCGTATAGTTGTCAAAGTCATCTATATCCCCCCCCCCCCCCCCATTTTAACACGTTATGGTCCAAAACCAGGTAAATGACCCAACATTTCTCTTAGCCCATGTCAAAATAGTGAGTGAGTGAGTATGGTTTTACGCCGCTTTTAGCAATATTCCAGCAATATCACGACGGGGGACACCACAAATGGGCTTCACACATTGTACCCATGTCGGGAATAGAACCCGGGTCTTCAGCGTGACGAGCGAACGCTTTAACCACTAGGCTACCCGACCGCCCCCCCATGTCAAAATAGAAAATTCTAAAATAAACATTTATAAAACTCCTTAATATCAAATGGCACCAGTTCAGTATGTGCCTAGTAGACATGCAAAGTTTTGTAAGAAAGTATTTAATGGTTTTTGAGTTACGCTCCGGAAACGAACAGCACCCTTATAGAACCGAAGTCCAACTTCTTGCCATGGAAACATAAAAAATAAAAATTTATAAAACTCCTTAATATCAAATGGCACCAGTTCAGTATGTGCCTAGTAGACATGCAAAGTTTTGTAAGAAAGTATTTAATGGTTTTTGAGTTACGCTCCGGAAACGAACAGCACCCTTATAGAACCGAAGTCCAACTTCTTGCCATGGAAACATAAAAAATAAAAATTTATAAAACTCCTTAATATCAAATGGCACCAGTTCAGTATGTGCCTAGTAGACATGCAAAGTTTTGTAAGAAAGTATTTAATGGTTTTTGAGTTACGCTCCGGAAACGAACAGCACCCTTATAGAACCGAAGTCCAACTTCTTGCCATGGAAACGTAAAAAATAAAAATTTATAAAATTCCTAAATAGCAAAAGGCACCAGTTCAGTATGTGTCTGGCAAACATGCAAAGTTTTGTAAGAAAGTATTTAATGGTTTTTGAGTTACGCTCCAGAAACGAACAGCACCCTTATAGAACCTAAGTCCAACTCGTTGCCATGGAAACGTAAAAAATAAAAATTTATAAAATTCCTAAATAGCAAAAAGGCACCAGTGAACGCACGCAGGCACGCACGCACGCACGCACGCACGCACGGAACCCATTTCTATATCCCCCGCCAACTTCGTTGGGGCGGGGGATAATATAGTGTATTTTCTGTCTGTGGAAGTCAGTTGATAGTCCGACTACCTCGCTTCCTCCATTTTCCTAGAAATGTATGTTTCATTCCATTTTCAAGAAATGTATGCCATATTTGGAAAATTGTTATGTATTGACAACACATTCTCTTTTGGTTGGAATAACTGTAGATTTTTATTACCAATTACAGGGCCATGTGTGCAGGCATTTATATATAAGTTTCACCTGTTTTTCATAAATGTCAAACTCTCGGGGAGCCGCACTGTTGATTGTCGTCTCGGGTAGAGTGATGACTTGCAGTTTGAAGGCAACATCATTATCGTGACGTTTTCTTTTTGAACTCATGATGAGGTTGTCAGTTCATAAATACATACTAACTTTTATATCCCTATGCAGTAACTCACAAATTTTCTTCAATACAACATCAAACATTGCCGCCACAATTGTATGATAATCCATTTGGATTATATAAACTATAAACAGAGGGAATGACCACATCACTTACTCACAGGCTTCTCAAGTTTATTAAGCTAATGTCCTGAAAACAAGGGAATGAAGCCCCCTACTCACAACACATCCACTTAGCACCCACACCTTGAGTGTTTGTGTAAACAGCATAACAATACCAATCGGCCCTGTTATTATCAGTGCTCATGTCCTTGTGTACCACTTGTGTAGCTTTCTACATAACAGAAAGCAGTCAGTCTTCACCGTTAATGACGTCACAGGAAACAGCTGCTCTCAATAACACGTCTTTTTGCAAACGCCAAACAGAAGAATGACTCGCTGTTTCGGTTGTTTATCTACCACATTAATAAGGTAGATTGACTTTGCAAATACCAGGTAATTACGATTGGCGATTCATGTGTGGATTATTTGTTATATGTAAAGATTGTGACGTATATCTAGAATGAAAAACCTTGAACTTTTGAAAACTTGCAGTTGCAGTCTCCCGGACCGTCCTTATGTTGATGTTTCTGACAGATCGCTATCAAAAAAATATTTTCATAAAAGTATCCATTACATAAACCGAACCCTTTGTACAAATTCTTTTTTCTGGTTGTCGAAATTCGGCTAATCTACGGCCATGCTAGTACTTACAATCATGACAAGGCCCAGAGAGCGGCCATGCTTGTACTTACGATCATGACAAGGCCCAGAGAGTGGCCATGCTTGTACTTACGATCATGACAAGGCCCTGAGAGTGGCCATGCTTGTACTTACGATCATGACAAGGCCCAGAGAGCGGCCATGCTAGTACTTACGATCATGACAAGGCCCAGAGAGCGGCCATGCTTGTACTTACGATCATGACAAGGCCCAGAGAGTGGCCATGCTAGTACTTACGATCATGACAAGGCCCAGAGAGCAGCCGTGCTAGTACTTACGATCATGACAAGGCCCAGAGAGCGGCCATGCTTGTACTTACGATCATGACAAGGCCCAGAGAGCGGCCGTGCTAGTACTTACGATCATGACAAGGCCCTGAGAGTGGCCATGCTTGTACTTACGATCATGACAAGGCCCAGAGAGCGGCTATGCTAGTACTTACGATCATGACAAGGCCCTGAGAGTGGCCATGCTTGTACTTACGATCATGACAAGGCCCAGAGAGCGGCCATTCTAGTACTTACGATCATGACAAGGCCCTGAGAGTGGCCGTGCTAGTACTTACGATCATGACAAGGCCCTGAGAGTGGCCATGCTTGTACTTACGATCATGACAAGGCCCAGAGAGCGGCTATGCTAGTACTTACGATCATGACAAGGCCCAGAGAGTGGCCATGCTTGTACTTACGATCATGACAAGGCCCAGAGAGCGACCATGCTAGTACTTACGATCATGACAAGGCCCTGAGAGTGGCCATGCTTGTACTTACGATCATGACAAGGCCCAGAGAGCGGCCATGCTTGTACTTAAGATCATGACAAGGCCCAGAGAGAAGCCATGCTAGTACTTACGATCATGACAAGGCCCAGAGAGAGGCCATGCTAGTACTTAAGATCATGACAAGGCCCAGAGAGCGACCATGCTAGTACTTACGATCTTGACAAGGCCCAGGGAGTGGCCATGCTAGTACTTACGATCATGACAAGGCCCAGAGAGCGGCCATTCTAGTACTTATGATCATGACAAGGCCCAGAGAGCGACCATGCTAGTACTTACGATCATGACAAGGCCCAGAGAGCGACCATGCTAGTACTTACGATCATGACAAGGCCCAGAGAGCGGCCATGCAGGCATCGGGCTGCTGATGATATTCCATGTTGCTACATGCTTAGTTGACAGAGCTGAAACAAACCAATCTGGTGTGAGATTTCATGACCACCAACATATTCACCTTCTGCTAGTCAGCATTAAAGAACAAGAGTCATCAGAAGATGACAAATCCCCCCGGCCCCCACAAATTCGAAAGAACAAATTATCCAACTGTTACTTTAGGTCCAACTTGATGAGAGAATTTCTATCTAATCTGTCTGTCCATATACAAGAGTAGTTATTGAGCTGTCAATACAATACTATGGAATCGGAATTCAGAACTTTGCATTTCTATGTCAGGTACACACCACTATGAAGAAAGTCAAAGTCAAACTTGATGCCACAGAAACGAAGAAAACATAAATTCCAACATACCTCAGTAGCAAATGGCACCATTTGGCAACCTGGTCTTTGTGTGTGCTCAGTTTCAAGAAAGAGTACCTAATAGTTTTAGAGATATGGTCCAGACAAATACACTACCATGAACAGAATCAAAGTCAAACTTATTGCCATGGAAACAGGAAAAATTAATATTTTTTAAATTTCTAAATACCAGACGGCACCACTTCAGCCGTTGATAAATAAATGAACCAATTTTGGATGACAAATAATGGAATAGTGCTCCAGAAACGACACCTACCCACACCCTTTTGTTTCCACAGAGATCAAGAAAAATACAAACGCCTAAAATCAGCAAATGGCAAAGGGCACCACTTCAGGATCTGTTTGATATATCTGCCAAGTTTTGTTGCAAGATATTGAACAGATTTTGAGTTGTCCTCCGGGAACAAAATCCCTCCAAACCTTAGAGACTATAAAGTCCAAACTATTTCCATGGAAATCAAGAAAAACACCCTAAAACTGTAAATAGCAAAAGGCACCACTTCACAGCCTGTTTGATATATCTGGCAAGTTTTGTTGAGAAATATTGAACGTTTTTTAAGTTACGCTCCAGAAACGAAATGATTATGGGCAGGAAGATGGGCAGATGGGCAGACGGGCAGATGGGCGGACGGACGGTCGGGCAGACGGACAGAAAGGTGAAGTGTCAACTATATCCCCCTGCTCTATCAAGAACACTACGGCTCTGTTACCTTGGATGTAAGGTTCACGGCTAAAACTGGCTGCATCTGTTGTTAAAATGTATCTAATAATAACTACAGCTTAGTAACTCTTAGTTTCTGACAGCATTTTTTTCCTGAACAAAGTATCAGATTTTATAACATTAAAGTATTATGACTCTGGAAATCAAGTACACAAAATATCCTCAGGCAGGATTTTATGTCTGGGTTTGCATTGTTGAGGGGGACAGGATTTCCTGATCTGTTTTTGAAAACGAAGACTTTTCAGATTAATTTGTGTCAAAGCCATAAAGCCTCTTCAGAGGACTGTTTTACAAACTTAAAAAAGTTAAAAATTGATTAACTGTTTCAGGTAACAGCAGTCATACTGTGGGATTGAACTCAACTGGACTTGGCGCATCAGTGATGATTCTGAACACTTATAACAGGCACGACTACAGAGTTATTTCCCTTTGACTGCTGATGCTGGCAATCCAACTCAATGACTTATACACACACACTGGCAAGACCATCCTGACTTACAAAGGGAAATCTGTCTATAAAATCACAAAACTCACATCAGCAGCTTCATTAGTGTTTTGTGATCTGCACCAGACACACAATTGTGAAACATGTTTCTAATGTGATCGCTGACAAAAGTATGGCTAATAGGGCAAAATTAAGTAAGCAAATGGTTGAAATGTGCCATCTCATTAAATCAATCTCTGATACGACAACAGTCTGCATCAAGCTCTGAGGGCATCTTCATAGGTAGTGTCAGGTGAACCCTGAGCAAAAACTTTGAAAATGAAGGAAGTGTGAGTTCTTGAGTCAATCAGATGTCAGCTTTCTAAAATGATTCACCTTCATTTTTTTACTGCCTCTATTCAGAAAATGTCAATCTAAGCAAAAGACACCACGGACAAGAAACATGCTCTTGAAAGTCTGCCCTTCTCTGTGTAAAAACCACGACACTCAGAAAGGACAGAATTCATGAAATACACATTACCATATGATAGAGCAGCAGAATTATTTTGCTTTCATTCCCCAAATAGATTTGTTTTCAAGATATTGAATGCTTCACTCACTCATACTGAGAATTAAGAAGCCTAGACACTGTTGGGCTGATGAGAAAACTCACCTGACCCGACCTCACAGTGGGGGGAGCCCTCAGACCACACCACAGAGGCAGAGAGGTATTGTATCAGAGTGGAAAACCTGATTTTAACAAACATGAAATACTCATATCCCCAATATGACAAGTCCGGCTGTCACAGTGCAAGGCATTAGCCCTCTGGAAACGAGCACTAACGCCATTTTCAGTCCAAGTTAAAGGCGTTGCTATGGAAACTTGAAAAATAGATCTTAAAGACATCCCAAACTATCAAAAGGCACCAACTTACCAGTAGACTTATCTATGTGCCAAGTTTGGTGATGAAAGGAGTACTGAGGCCATTTTCAGTCTAAGTCAAAGTCGTTGCAATCGAAACTCGAAAAATAAATTTTTCAAAATTCAAAACTATCAACCTATATATGCCATGTATGGTTAAGATATCTGTCATGGCTCCGGAAACAAAACCTGACGGACGAACAGCACCCATTCCTATATCCCCCTCAGACTTTTTGGCAGGGGATAATAACATTGAAAACTATGTTACTTGGGCGTTTCTTTGAAAGACAAGTATTAACCTCATTAACCTCAAGTATTAAAACTCATGTTAACAAGACAAGTCAGTTGTGTACAAATCCATTTTTCATTAAAAAGTCATTCTTAAACTCATTTTAACAAGACAAGTCAATTGTGTACAAATCTATTTTTCATTAAAAAGTCATTCTAAAACTCATGTTAACAAGACAAGTCAATTGTGTACAAATCTATTTTTCATTAAAAAGTCATTCTAAAACTCATGTTAACAAGACAAGTCAGTTGTGTACAAATTCCTATCGAGATATGCGACACGTAAGGATATCAGATGTATTCATTTAAGCATGACACAACCCATTTCTCACAGAAAAAACACAATCTGAAGACAAGCTAATGTTAATAGCCACTGCACACAGACTGAATGACTGACTGACTAAATTTAGACCAAAACACAACACCAGAATAGCTCTGACATTTCTAAATGTCACACACTTCATAATGGTACAGAGGAATCTCAGAAATGGGGATTATGTCCACATTTCAATAGATTACCTAAAGCTCTGTAGTAACCATTTAAAGAATGTCAACTGGTAGAGTCCTCGCAGATTAGCTGGAACGAAGAGTATGTCAAAGTCGGTGTTTTGACCCCAATGTTAAAAGTATTGCCCTTACTGTTTGTAAATGTTATCAGCTTAAAGACAGCACACTTGATGTAACGGGACGTGTGTAACACGATGGGTAACATTCCAGGAAGCCTCTGCCTCCATAGGAAGGAAGTGGTTACAACATAAACAGTCAATAGGACGACAGTTTCTATTTATTCACGTGAACATTCCTGGAATGCAATCTCCTGGATTAATAGGCAAAACGTGTTGAGAATAACTCAAAGATAAATAAAACTTGACATTATTATAATGTAAATAATTACATAAGTCTTCTTGTAAACACATGCAACTAATAATAAGTTTTCATGCAAACACATTATGTTGTTGTAATTTCATTTACTTCACGTACTGTATGGTATCAGGGATAAAAGTGTACTTTTTCTACCAATTTGTCAAGGTATGTAGCTAGGTTTCCAGTCCTTGGTAAATGTAACAGAAATCTATGAAACATGAATTAAGCACTTCCATTTCTGGTGATCACAATTTTTGTGCCATGTTTTAATTGGGCAAAAGTAAAACGAAATGGTGTTGACGCATAGGTTTACACTTTTGTATTCCTAAAATAGCAATTGAATGTTTAGAAAATATGACATAGAACCAAAATGACAGCATAATACTTTTTTCATTCCAAACATGGTATTGAACAAAAGTGTCTTAGCCAATACAGGGCTCGATTTAGCTAGTCAAAACATGCACCAATGCAACTTATTATCGAAAAATATAACCTAATATTCATGTCTACGTGCATGTCCAAAAACTTACTTGTCCGCACAACATCAATCTTTGAACACACTCAAAGTCGCTTAGCTTTTTTTTACCATACTATACTACTCAAAAGAAGTTAAAGATCACCTGATTCTTTCATATTACTATAGTTAATCTCTCATGTCATGACAGATTAACTTTACCATTATGAAAGAATCAGGTGATCCTTAACTTCTTTTGAGTAGTACATATCACTAATTGTTGTGTCATGTGTAATTCACGACACATTGACACATGACTGAGTCACCAGAGGTCTGAGATTTTACTTATTTAGACTAGTTTATGCATCCATGTTTCAACTATGACAAATATGTGACCTGGTGCAACCTGGTTTAGTTTGGTGCAACTAGCTTTTCATGTCTACACCAAGGGCGGATCCAGCATTTTTGAAAGGAGGGGTCAAAAATATCAAAATCCTCCCTCAGTAAATTTTTACTGCCAACAACATACTACATTTGGTTTTAAAAAGGAGGGGGGTCCGGACCCCCTGGACCCAACTCTGGACCCGCCTATGAACATGCACCTGGCACAGCTTAAGCCCAGTTCCGTAAATCGAGGCCTGCCATATTCAAAATATACTTTCGTGAATGGTTATTATGTATCACCAAGGCTGACTGTTTGAGGTCTTTAAAACAATTCTGTATTCCCAGCTCTTGAAAATAAAAACTGTACATAATATTAATGCAATCATGATGTTAATGTGAAAAATGTGAGTGACACTTGCTCACAAATCACGTGATGTATTTTTGAAGGGAGATATTCCATGGACTTTAATGTCATGTCAGGTTTACTGCACATACTGGAAACAATGGTACTTATTCCATAAGAAAGCAAACGATGTTCATTGTAAGAGGCGACCAAATGGATCAGGTGGTTAGGCTTGGTGTCTTGGTTAT